CCTGAATTTGGGAGAAGCCCATGGAGATCCTGGAGGACAGGGACCCGAGCCCATTCCCAACTAAGGAGACATTAATCGGCCCATGGCTTGGGTGCCACCTATGGGTGGTGAACTAGAACCATCCATTGCTTCAGCCAACAAGTTAATACTGGACTCCCCTCTGTATTTCACCCTAAGCCAGCCCTGGGATCTTTGCAGAACGAAACCCTGTCTGCTTTGGGATCTGGTCCTCCACAGAAGTTCACTCAGATCCTGACTTCACGTGCGGACTCATGGGGAATCAACCACATCCAGCCACTGGAATTGGCTTGGAAACCAGAGTATAGGTGGAATGAAGCCCTCATGGTGGACTGTGTGGCTTTAGACTGCCAGTGTCACACCCTGTCATGTCACTTGTCACTGCTCTGGACAGAGGAAAAGAGGGTGTGAGCCACACCTCAAACCGAAGAGCTCCTGGGGTGCCATAATCAATCACCTCACATCTGACTTTTCACTATTCTCTGGAATTAGATGACACTGACTTTGCTTGGACTGTGATGGAAGGCCTTGCAATTTACAGAAACAAAGCCCAAGGGGGAAATATGGTGAGAGATAACCCCACTTTTTGCATCTTGGATCACAGAGCCGTACAGGCATACATTTAGGCTTTAGACTAAACTGGCTTTAAGTCCCAGCATCACCACTTATCAGCTGTGAGACCTTGGGCCAGTTTCCAAACTCTTCCGAGCCTCAGTTTCCTCATTTGTAATATGGGATCAATAACATAACCTACCTACTATGGTCATTATGAGGACCAAATTAGTTAAAATATGTAAAATGCTCTGCACAGTGTTTAGCTTATAGTAAATGTTATATAAACTTAATTGTTATTATTAACCTCATCATCAATATCTTCCTCAAGAACTCAGCAATTCTAGCATTTCCTTTGCCATCTTATAGATATGTTGGATAGGTGGGAGAGGAAACAGGGTTTGCTCATATGAGGTAGTACGTAAAAGTAGAGCAAATCTCAGAGTCACAGACTGTCTCAGATGGAAAAGGCTTTCTTTAGACCGTTTAGTTCAACTCCCTCATTTTACTGATGAGGAAATGGAGGCACAGAGTGGCCAGTAGAAAAGTGCCCAGGGAGGCCCAAGGAATCACCAGCTCACGGTCACCAGACCAGGAGACTACAAGACCTCGATGCAAACCCAGGCCTCTGGCTCCCCTTCCTGCATCGTTTCCCAGCCACAGCTGCCTTGTTCCACCTTGTCACCCTCCCAGAGGGAACTTGGGATCTGGGAAACAGGCACACACTGCCCAGATACACAGGATGCCTGTGGCTTTCACAGCCTCAGTGTCTTAAGAGAAGAATTATGACAATGAAAGGGATCAGAATATCCAACTAGGTCCACTGGTGCATTCTCTTCCCAGTAGGTAAATCTGCTAGTTAAACTGACCTAAGATCAGAAGGTTACTTTGTGAAGCCAGAATCAGAGCAGATGAGTTGGATGGCTCTCAGGAACATTTCCATGAATCTTCTTCTGAGAACCCTCCAAATATCCTCCCCAAATGCTTGCCTTCTTTCTATGGGATCCTACTACTTCCATTGCATCCTGTCATTTCAAGATATTTAATTAGAAAAAATAATCTTGGATGTCCCATGGTCCACCCTGCACTGTCCAATATTGGACTGGACACTGAAGAACATTTTGTGGGAAATGCTGCCTCCCTCTGTGACCTCCTCTGAGGTTAATTGGGGGCACAGCTAATGCCCTTAATGATTAGCATCATAAGTAGTCCCAGCTGTCATTCACTGAGTGCTAACTCTCAGCCAGGCCCTCTGCTAGACCCTTAACAAATGTCATCTCATTTAACCCCTGGATCAGCCCTAGGCAGGAGTCATTACAGAACTGTAAGGATTCTTAATCAAACTGTATTTTCTTTTTGGCAGCTGGCCAGTAGAGGGATATGAAAAAGCTATATTTGATTTGGGTTTTTTTTGTTTGTTTTTAGTGGCTGGCTGGTACAGGGATATGAACTCTTGACCTAGGTGTTATCAACACCATGCTCTAACCAACAAAGCTAACCCGCCAGCCCTTAGCCAACCTCCCTTTTTTTTTTCTAAAAGATGACTGGTAAGGGGATCTTAACCCTTGACTTGGTGTCAGCACCACGCTCTCCCAAGTGAGCTAACCGGCCGTCCCTATATAGGGATCCGAACCTGTGGTCTTGGTGTTATCAGCACCACACTCTCCCAAGTGAGCCATGGGCCGACCTTAACCAACCTCCTTTTAAACTCAGTTTTTTTGGGCCAGCTCCGCTACCCCTTGCCCAAAGGCTGCAAGCATGCCAGTTAAGTAGGCTTGACACACTCCCATCTTGCAACCATAAGGGAAAGGCCAACAAAATGGCGAGACCTCAGCTCTGACATCTTTGAGCCACTACAGCATCACCAGCAACCCAATTTCTCACGAAGTCTATTATTCCAGGTGTCTTATAAAAGGTTGCCAAGTGCAGAACAGTGCAAGTGTCCCAGACAGAAGTGAACTTGGGGCAGACATCTGGTACCAAGGCTCTGAGCATTGCTACAGGGAAGGGCGGGGCTGGCTGCCTGGCTCTTGCTACACTGTCTGGGTGCTTGGGTCCCAGTAGTGATGAAAATCACCACCACACTCTGTGCTTTTTCAGAACGACTCGACACAGAAGGTGACTGCATCCCGACTTTTAATACCATCTGTACACTATGGATTCCAACCCTATATCTTGAGCCCTGACTCTCCTCTGAATTCCAGACCTACAGATCCAACTGCCTGTTCAACATCTCCACTGGGGTGTAGAACAGGATGGAACTCCTGCTCTTGTCCCCGCCCAAAGTCCTATAGTCCCAATCTCAGCAGCAAATGGACACTCTTCTCTTACAGCTGTGCAGGCCAGAAAATTCGGAGTCACCCTTGAGTCTTCTCTTTCTCTTATACCCACATCCAATCTATCAGGAAGTCAGCTTTACCTCTGAGTCAGATGCAGAAGCCAAGTGCTTCTCAGCACCTGCACCACTCCCATCCTGACCCAGACCTGGATGACTGCCACTGTCTCATTTATGTGTACTCTGCTTCTGTCTTGCACCTACTGCCCATTCTCAACATGATGGCCAGGGGGATCATTTAAAAATATAAGTTGGACCACATCACTCCTCTGCTCAAAAACTCTCCAATGGCTTCCCTTCTCACCCTGAGCGCACGGCAATGTCTACAAGATAGTCTGTAAGACCCAACATGATCTACTGCTATTTCACTCCCATCGCACCACCCACATGCCCCCTCCACCTCCACACCAACCATACTCCCACCTCAGTGATCTTATTCTCTTTTGCCAGATACTCACATGGCTCCCTCCCTCTCCTCCTGCAAGTCTCTACTCAAAGGTCTCTATCAGTGAAGGTTTCCCTGACCTCCTAATTTAAAACAGCAACCCCACCCCATGCTCTCCCTGTGCCTTCCCTGCTTTATTTTCCTCCTGTGCACCTGTCTCTCATAGTAAGCATCTTGCTACACTGTGTATTGTCTGTCTCCTCCCAGTAGAAGTTAAGCTACCCGAGGGCAGGACTTTTGTTTGTTTGACTCCCACCTGTAGCTCCCTGCCTAGAACATGGCTGGCCTGTGGTGGGTGTGGGATAAATATGTGCTGAATAAATGAACATCTGTGGTAGAACCCACCTCGGCTTTCGTGACTGACATCTCGAAAGGTCTGTTGCTGACAGTGACCGACTCCAGTGCAGAGGACATCCGGTTGCAGAGGTGCTTGTTCTGGATGGCAAACCTCAGCTCTTCCTTGACAAAGGGTGTCAGGTTAGCAAAATCTTCAAATACCAGTGACCCAGGAGGGGACAGGCAGGGGACGATGGCAGAGGCACTCACTTCCGAGGCAGAGACCTGGCCTGGGTGTTGAAGCATCATTTTGCTGAAAGACACATTGAAACCCAAACTGCTTCAGGGGTTCTGGGGCATGGGATCAAGTCCTCCCACCTGCCACCTCCAATGTCAGAGCCCCGTCGCTAGAGGAGAGTCCCATATGCACTTTGGCTTCTTTTTTGTTTTCATTTCATGCCATCCTGTCTTGAGTCAAAGGGGTTCTTTACACAGCTCAGTGATATGGATAAAATGCCTAAGTGAAATTTATAAAATTCAGGCTATTCTGAACTCACAAGAGCTATTAGTTTTGGCTGGTGTGCATATATGCAAATGTTGCCTCAAACAGTGCTGAAAGAGGAAGAGCATTTTTTAAAAAATCACTGAGACCATTCTGTAACCCCATTTTCAGTTTCTTTTTTCAAAAAGAAACTTGGAAGTTACCTGAAATCAAATTGAATCTATCAGTGACTGAAAGTAAAAGCTAGGAAGGGTGGGGAGGGGAACTTCGAATTTAGAGAACAAATCTCCGAGGCTTCTCCCCAGGAAGTTGGATCCAAGTGATCAGAATGAGGAAGGTAACTGTAGCCAGGTGTGTTTCTTCACCCCAGTCCTTGGCAGGGGATGGGGGTGGGGGCGGGGGGGGGGCTCAAGTCACAAGGGGACAAGTAACCCCTTCTTAAGGTTAATGTTGGTGAAACAAAAGATCTCAGAATAAAGACAAGGAGCTGGGATTTGGACATTTTGAGGGGGTGTTGTTCGGCCTTGCGGTGTAGGGAGAGGCTTGGGCTGGGGACAGAGGGGGTCCCTGGGACTGGCCTAGGCACTGTAGAGGAGTATAACTGGGCCTGTCACATCAACTCTCCAAGACTCAAGTCTTCATCTGGTAAACGGCTGAGAGCTCCACAGGGCAGGAACTGAGTTTCTGCCATCGCTTTATTCCAGAGCCTGGCCCAGCACATGGCTCACAATGTCTGCTGACCAGTTCTACTGTCCCTCTGAATAGATTAAGTGGGGACAGGGTGGTCAAATCAAATGGACTCTGAGGTCTTATCATTCTATAGCTCTGAGAACCAAACAATAAGAGGAAAACAAAGGATAGAAATTGTAACAGTTTCATGGTTCCAATTTGGAACCATCCCTCATAAACCTCCCTGCCATGTACCATTCCCCCCATCCCTGCAGTCAGTCCTCAAGGGGCGATGAGTGTGGGGACTGT